AGAGAGAGAGAGATCTGAAATCGCATACTAAGGCTCAAGACCAGGGGTCAGCAAACTTTTTCAGCTGGGGGGGTGGGGGCGGTCTATATTTTGGAGGAATGATTGAATTCCTATGCCCCACAAATAACCCAGAGATGCGTTTTAAATAAAAGCACACATTCTACTCATGTAAAAACAGGCTGATTCCTTGACTGTCCGCGGGCCGGATTTAGAAGGCGATTGGGCCGGATCTGGCCCCCGGGCCTTAGTTTGCCTACCCATGATCAAGACAATCAAAGGCAATGCAGATTAGGAACACAGGAAGCTGCCTTATGTCCATCTAGACCTGTATTGTTTACTCTCTGGCAGTGGCACCATTCAGAGCCTCAGGCAGAGGGTGGAATTGAACGTTGCGCTAAGGAGATCATTTCCTTGATCTGCCTGCTTGCCCAAAGGACCCATCTCTTCCCCTTGTGCTCGGTTCTGGTGGCAGCAAAGCCCTTCAGCACTAGCAGGAATCCTTGTACAGTGGTACCTTGGGTTACATACACTTCAGGTTACATATGCTTCAGGTTATAGACTCCGCTAACCCAGAAATAGTTAAGAACGGACCTCCAGAACGAATTAAGTACTTAACCTGAGGTACCACTGTACTGGTTTCTGCTTATGGAATCGGGTAGAGGAATCTGGCCCAAAGTTCTTCACCATCATCTGCTACCTGGTCTTTCAATCAGAGACACCAGAGAATGAACCTCGAACCTTCTGCATGCAAAGCATCTACTCTTTTGGATGAGGCGGAGATGCCAGTTTTCATTACGCTCAATGAGGTGTATAATAAATTTTAAAAATTTAACATGATGCATAAAAAAATAAAATAATCAAAACTAAGATCCAGCAGAAACAGGAAGTACTCACCACTGGCAGCGAAGGGTCTGCATTTGCAAGCCCCGCAGGATTACAAGAGCCCACTGAAATAGAGAGAGAAAAACAACCACACAAACAGATAAGAGCCGGCACTCATATAACAAACGGAATCAGCTAAGTGGGAAAAGATTAGATGCAGTTTAGTCACTATTAATACTTTATATGTGGATTTTCTTTTGTGTTTTTGTTTTTAGAGTTTACTTGTATTGATTGTTCCTTATGTTTAAGAGAATTTTTTTTTGTTTTCCTGATAGTTATAATGCTTTAAATTTGTGGGATTTTTTAATTTTATATTCGATTTTCATTTGTTTTATTCTAATATTTTCCAATGTTCTGTTTGATGTTTTTAAAACAGGGTGTTAAACCACCTAGGAAATGGGTGTGGTTTTTTTGGAAATGTTAAGCAGTATATAAATGATTTCAATATAAAGCAGGATAAATAAATGCAGAGTTTTCTGGGATGGTGCTTTAACTGTATTGTGGATCTGGTGGGGCAGCTACTGGGTTGTGATTGGCACTGAGCCAAAGAAAAAGTGGTATCAGAGCTCAGGAAAAACCACTCCAAAGCAGCACTTAACAAAGTGAAAAGCATGGGGGAAACTTACTGTTGTGTTTATACACTGCTGAAAACCAATAAAAAAATATTACAAAAAAAGTGAAAAGCAAATTGATCTGCCAAGTGAAGTTAGCGGATGAGCTCTGCATTAAAATCCATTAATTTTAGCAATTTTTCGTTTCCACACTATTCACGTTTATTTACTTTTTTGTTTTTAATCAAGCAATGCTGATGCTGCCTGGGGCTTTGGGTACTGAGGTACATAAAGAGTTCATGCTTGTGTGACACAGAAGCTGCACAGCAAGTGGAATAGGCGGAGCTACCTTCACACTGCGGGAAACCGTAAGCCCCAGGAATGCAGGTATCACAGCGCTGCCCCATTACTCTCTGCCGACAGCTGCACTGCCCTGTCTCCTGATCACAGGTGCCATAGAGAGAGCCTTCTGGGGAACAGTGGCAAGCTGAGGAGGATGTAAAAAAAGACAGGACAGAAAGCGTTAGGACAGACAGTAAGACTTTTAAAGTAAGGACCCATGTCAACCATAGTTGGCGGCACCATCATAAAAGGCCACAAAAACTGGAGAGAAAACAACTGTTTTTTCTTAAGAACTGTCTGTTTTTTATATAGGTGCCTGCAGTGCTCCCCCCAGAAGGGAATGCAGTACTGGCACCTAATTGGGGGGGGGGGACAATTTAAAATACAGGTTAAAATACAATTTAAAATGCAGCTTCATTTTAAAAGTAGCCCATAGATCAAAACCATAAGGGGAGGGAAACATAAGGGTCAGACTGAGTCCAAACCAAAGGCCAGGCGGAACAGCTCTGTCTTGCAGGCCCTGCGGAAAGATGTCAAGTCCCGCAGGGCCCTAGTCTCTTGTGACAGAGTGTTCCACCAAATCAGGGCCAGTACTGAAAAGGCCCTGACCCTAGCTGAGACCAATCTAACCACCTTGCGACTTGGGACCTCCAAAAGGTCCTCCGTGGGGCTTACCAGAAGAGACGGTCCCGTAGGTACGTGGGTCCTAGGCCGCAGAGGGCTTTAAAGGTCAAAACCAGCACCTTAAAAAGTGTGGCACTTACTAGAACAACTTCATGGTGCGTACTGGCACCTCTTTTTCTAGAAAAAAAAGCACTGGGTGGCCGACACATTTCTGGAAAGGATTAGTTCCTTCTTCGGGAACAGATGTCAATAATGACTTCTTGGCTCAGGGGCTGTTTGGCTTAAGAAGCTCTGGGGGGGGGGGGGGGAGAGACCTTAAATGCACGCTTCCCATCCCCTTCTTGGTGGATATTTTATCTCTTTTTTTTTATGGCGATCCAAGGTGCCTCTTCCCTTTGTTTCCACCATCACGAAGAAAGGCACTCTCCTGTTTTATCATGCACAAGGGAAAGTCTATTCTAACATGGTGCGTGCGTTAACTCGTGTGCACATTTATCTAAAAACAGCACCTGCTGTACATAGTACTTTCTTCATTCCAAAGCATTGCTTTACACCCTTGGGGAAAGGGTATAGATAAACAAACTCAACATTTATGCATTTTTGCAACCTCAGTTGTATACACCATGCAACCCAAGAGCAGCTCATGTCCTCTGGGTAGGACCACATGTTTTGGGGTTGTTGCTGTTGTTTAACAAAAGATAGCAGCCTGGACACTTCTCCTTTCTAAGCAAACCCTTAGTCAAATACGGGAAACTCAGGACCAGGAGGCAAATGCAGCCCCCTCCAGGCTTCTCTATTTGGCCCTGAGGGGACGCGGGTGGCGCTGTGGGTTAAACCACAGAGCCTAGGACTTGCCGATCAGAAGGTTGGCGGTTCGAATCCCTGCAACGGGGTGAGCTCCCGTTGCTCGGTCCCTGCTCCTGCCAACCTAGCAGTTCGAAAGCACGCCAAAGTGCAAGTAGATAAATAGGTACCGCTCCGGCGGAAAGGTAAACGGCGTTTCCGCGCGCTGCTCTGGTTCACCAGAAGTGGCTTAGTCATGCTGGCCACATGACCCGGAAGCTGTACTTCGGCTCCCTTGGCCAATAAAGTGAGATGAGCGCCACAACCCCAGAGTCGGCCACAACTGGACCTAATGGTCAGGGGTCCCTTTACCTTTACCTAATCTCCCTAGACCACACTCCTCATCAACCCTGCTTTGTACCCTTCTTGAGGGTTTCTGCCTGGCTGGAATGTGTCCTTGAACTCTAATAATGCTTCTTATTTGCCTGTATGAGAGACAGAGAGGGATGTGTGTAAGTGAAGCAACTAGCCTGCTGCACAAAGGTATAATTCACATCTAATATTCTGCTCACTTTTGCCTCTAGCGTCACACACCATTGTATGTGGCCCTTGGAAGGTTGCATAAAAGAGAATACGGCCCTTGGGGTTAGAAAGGTTCTCTCCCCCTTGCCTTGAGTGAAAGAAACTCTAAAATGGGCATGCAATAATTTTTTATTTTATTTTTTACATTTAACACCTAAAGAGCTTCTTAGGCCAACAAAGACTTTAAACTGGGAAATGCTTAACATAACTGTTGCCACCTAAGAAAAGGAAATGTTTGATTGTTTTATTATAGTAAGGCAATTTCTGGCCTTTAAGACTTTGCACTGCATCGTGCCTTGTTCCTCTCTCAATACTTGTTTCTATGCACCATGCATTTTTTAGGTGCTAATGAATGCGTAACAAAATAAATGAATGGCCTTCTTCCACCAGGTCTGTGAGATCTAAGCTTCCAGCCTCTTCAAAAACACACTGCCAATATCAGCCCTGGAAGCTAAGCCAGTTGGCCAGAGCTCATGTTTTCCACATTTAGCAGAGGAAGAGAATATAAAAAATGTTAGAATCTATCAGCTGTGTGACTCAGGGACAGTGCATCCTACAGCAATTCTTTGATAACGAGCAATGAAATCTAACCAGGAACCACATGTGCATATTTGCATTGTATGCCATCTTGAATGGAATGAGGATGGCTAATAATGCATGGAGAATAGCATCCTAATCCTATGACCTTTCCAGCCGTTTACCTGTGTAACCTCTCCACTCCTTTTTTCGCATCATTTTCAAAGAAGCAAACACAAAAAACTCATGTAATAAAGCATACATACCCCTGCAATGTGAACCAAAAGGGATTGAAGTAAAAGACCCTTGTGAACACAAAGAACTGCAGAGTTGGTATAGCAACATGACTCACCTGTACAGGTAGGGTACCCATAAAAGCCTGGGGCACACTGGTTGCATGTGTGGCCTATATAATTTGAGTGGCAATGGCACTGACCAACAGGGCTGCAGTCATTGTCCAGAGCTCCCCGGGGGTCACAGGAGCAAGCTGTGGGGGTGGGGGTGGGGAAAGCACAGAAAGAGGTTGCAGAAGTCAATAGGCGAGGGCACCAACATGCTTTTGACACGCTTGGAATATTGATTATTTTGTCTGCTTGTAAAATTAATTATTTCATTCCAAACCAAATGCCACAGTCTCTTAACAGGCAGCTGAACTTTCCCTCCCGAGACAAGCTATGTGTCCTTGTAGAAGGAACCCTTGGGCCTCCAGATGTTGCTGAACCACAGCTCGGTTGGAAGAGAATGAGACTCTTAATCTCAGGGTTGTGAGTTCAAGACCCACGTTGGGGAAAAGATTCCTGCTTTGCAGGGGGTTGGACAAGATGACCCTCATGGTCCCTTCCATGATTCTATTCTATACTCTTAATGCCCAGCAGACCCAGCAAGCAGGATCAAGGACCTGGGATGATGTGAGCTGTCATTCAACAAGACCTGGAGGGGTGAAGGTTCCTCATACTGTTCTAGAACAAGCAGGTTCCAATAGCCATGTCCATACACACAGCTGACTAGCATTGATGAGTGCTTGTACCTATTGGGTGGCAGGGCCATGTGATAGCTGGCATTGTCACATAAATACTTTTAGGGGGCTTTAATGTGTCTGGATACCTTCTCCCCCATTTTAAATTACAGGCAATATGCAGGTACGAGTTCCCTAAATACTGCTTGGTAACATTCCTGTTTCTGAAGAGAACACTGATACTACTGAATCAGAAAGGATGCCAAGGTATAGATAATCTGAAAAGAACAGGAGTCAGAAAGACAAAAGGAAGAATCACAAGGAAAAGAGGGCAGATCTTAAGTTGGAAAATACAAGGGAGAGCTGTGTTCTGCTCCGAACAAAGGCAGGAAGTGAACTGAGACGTCAACAGGAAGGGAAAGCCTAAAGTGTCCTTTGAAGTCACAGTTCTCTGCCTTCGAGCAATAGAGGAAACTAGCTCCACTTGGAGGTATCTAATGCACATGAGGGGGAGGGGAAATACCCCAGGTTTTAGCAGATGCATTGGACCCATTTCCGAGATTTTCTTCACAACAACAGTGGCAGATAACACCCTTTCCTTAGGTCTTGATTTGATAGAAGAGAGACTTCTTTCTTTTGTGTCAATTAATTACAGAATCTGCCTCTTCCCTGCTAGCAGTTTCACAACCTGGCATACCTTGGCAGTGAGGGTATGAGTGATATCCAACGCTGCACTGGTCACAGTGAGGGCCAACATATTCAGGCCTGCAGAAGCACCTTCCAGAGGCATCGCAGCCTTCTGGCAATGTCCCAACAGCACTGCAGCCACAAACTGCAACGAAAATAATATCCAGGGTTCAGAACTTTGGGGTCTCAAATAGAGGACTTGAGCATCACTGCAAAGGTTAAGTATGGGCCAAGCAGGCTAACAGGATAGGTGTTTGGGAGCACATAAGGGACAGAACAATGCCAGGTCTAATGAAATCAGGATCTGCACCCACCAACCCATACTCAAGAATCTATGCTGCATTTAAAAAATAAACACAAATTTTGTACTAAGGAAATGAAAATCTTGTCGTCCTATTGGCATTAGACAATGAAAAATATTTTCATATAATTACTTGGCTTAGCAGAATTTGTTCTGCTTCCAGTTTTGTGTTTTTCAAATAATGTCCAGCTTTTTGGCTAATACTGGTATAGTGGCAGAGCAAGGGGGAAGGAACAAACCCAAACAGGATTACAGTGGAAGGATGAGGAAGGGTGCAAGTACAGCCACTGAGCATGAGAGAGACTTCACTGTATGCTGCCTGCACATACCCAAATGCCCCTGTGCAACCAATAGGAACTCGTGAGAACAGAGAAAGATGCAGGCATTTGCAGAACATACACTTGCCAAAGCCCACAGTGATTAATGTGGTGATGTGTCTGAAAACTCACGCTGGCACAGTGGGTAGTTGAAGTAGCCAGGGGCACACTGATCGCACGTGTAGCCTTCAAAACCAGCTCGACAAAGACACTGGCCAGTCTCACTGTCACATGTGCCATCATAGTAGCCAGGGCCAGAGCACTGGCATGCTGTGGGAGCAAAACACAAACAAACGGTTATTTGGCTGCACTTCGCTGTAAAACAGCAACTAGCAGACATATCTGATTCCAAGTTTTTCTTCACATCCATAGGGACAAAACTTGAGATTTCACTTCTGGTACTCAAAATGAATTCCTAGGCTCAGGGGTACCCTGCTCTTCGAATTCTAAACTGTGGATTATAGTTGCCCATTGAAATAAATAGCCTTAAGTATCTTGTCCATTTATTTTAAAGGGCCTGCTCTTAGTATGACTTAGCTGGATATTGCCCACAATGTATTTTGCATAAGGCTCTGATTGGTAGACCCTGGGGTTCTAGTGAAAAACAAAGTAGATCTCAGACACGGGTGGCGCTGTGGGTTAAGCCACAGAGCCTAGGACTTGCCGATCAGAAGGTCGGCGGTTCGAATCCCCGCAATGGGGTGACCTCCCATTACTCGGTCCCTACTCCTGCCAACCTAGCAGTTCAAAAGCACATCAAAGTGCAAGTAGATAAATAGGTACCACTCCGGCGGGAAGGTAAACAGCATTTCTGTGCGCTGCTCTGGTTCGCCAGAAGTGGCTTAGTCATGCTGGCCACATGACCCGGAAGCTGTACGCCGGCTCCCTTGGCCAATAAAGCAAGATGAGCACCGCAACCCCAGAGTCGGTCATGACTGGACTTAAATGGTCAGGGGTCCCTTTACCTTTACTGATCGGTAGACCCTGTGGTTCTAGTGAAAAACGAAGTAGATCTCAGACAGGGGGACCAACCTGAATAAAATATTGCAAGGGCCCAAGTAAGCCCCGCCCCACATAATCAATCACATGATGTAGCACACACACACCATTTGGATGGGAATGCCCATCAACTGGGGGGGGGGAGTTGTCCGGCTCCCTCAAATATTACATTGTGGGGGCCGAAGCCCCCAAGAGTTTGCTCCTATGATCTCAGAAGCCTGCCCATCTCTCCTTTAGACTATACATTCCTTGGAGGCAAAGAGTTGTAGCTTTGGCTTATGAAAGTGGTGGCCAAATTCAGCCCTCCTGATGTTTTGGGACTACAATTCCCATCATCCCTGACAACTGGTTCTGTTAGCTCAGGATGATGGGAGCTGTAGTCCCAAAACAGCTGGAGGGCCAAGTTTGGCCACCACTGGCTTATGAAAAGCTCTGCAAACTGAGAGCTCTGTTGCAACCACAGCACCACAACTACAAAAGCAAGCCTACCCTCTCAACTCTCAAAACAGGAGGGCTGCCTATGAGTTCAGCAGAACCCATTGGCTTCGTTTACTCACGTTGGCAACCTGGTCCATAGTATCCAGGCACACACTGGTCACACTGAGTCCCTTGGAAGTTGGGTTTGCACAAACACAACCCCGTTTGAGCATCTTTCCGGCAGGCGTTCCCTCTTGTCCCAGCAACATTGCAGTCGCAGTCTGGAAAGTGGCGAGAGGGAAGAAAAAAGGATTAAGTTAAATGTGCACATGGTACACCAGGACTCCCAATTGCCAACAAGTTACTGCTGCAATGATCTTAAGGGACCAACCATAGTAAAAGGAGGCATAGTAATTTCTTAAAAGTAGGGATGGGGGGACAGGAAGATGAGCTTACTTATTATCTGCCCAGCGGGGAGGACTTGCTCTCCAGTGTCATTGTATGAGTAAACTGGTTCAGCTAAATGAAGGGAAAGACAATGGAAATGTTAGTTCCATGCTCAAGAAAAGTAACGAATTCATCACTATGCATTAGTCTAAAATAAATCCAGTCCTCTGTAAATAAGCCCTTCTAGGTTCCAAAATATTACTTTTGTTACAGTTCAGAAATTAAGTGCTCTATCGCTCTCTAAATCACACACCACTACCAGCAATCCCATTAAAAGGTTTAGCAAGACACTGTAAGAAGCGGATTTTTGGAAGCCAGAGGCCAAGGCTGCTGTGCAGTAATCCAAAAAAGAGAGCCTGAAGCAGGCTCCATCACAAACATGGCAAGGACCAGAATGCTGGCCTCTGGAAACTCACAGCGCTTAGCTTATTCTGAAAGGCCTCGTGGGCTGTGAGAGCAATACGTACGATAACAGTGCGGGAACTCCATGTAGCCATCCGCACACGAGTCGCAGTGCTCCCCTGTGTAATTCGGCTTGCAGTAACAGCGGCCAGTGAGGTCCTCACAGGTGCCGTCTGTGAAGTCTGAGTCGCAATTGCAACCTAGAAGGGGAGAAATTACAATGAACTCCCTCTTCCAGTTCAAACCAGAGGCAGAGAGTACACATTGGTCCACGCAGACCACAACGGGGCTGCTCTTCAACGGGGTGACCCATATTTACTATGGGCTAAGGTGAAGAAGAAGAAGAAGAATTTATTATTTATACCCTGCCCATCTGGTGTATGATATCCTGACCCTTCCTAAACCACAAAGATTTCTTGCCCGTTCTCCTGCACTGCCTAAAACATACTCTGGTCAAACCACAATATCAGCAGATGCGTCTCAATACAGCTTCTGAAAAATCCTAATCCCATCACCACCACTATTTGGCATGAAATAATCAACCCCAGCAATTAAGAATACAATCCAGAAACTATGGGCAAGGTAAGAACATAAGAAGAGCTTGTTACCTTGGCACTGTGTAACTGAAACTTAAGACATGCAGATTTAGAGAACTGCTTCAGAGCACACAAGACATAACAGAAAGTCAGTTTTCCCCTCCCTCAACAGCATTTTTTCTCTCTCAACAGCACTTTATGGGGTTCTGCTCTGCAGGGCCCCCAACATTTGGGGGGGGGATAGGCAAAGGTACTCTTGACCCCAACACTGTACATGTCACTTTTGGATACTGGACTGTATCTATGATGTACTTGAGGCAGCATACTCACGATAGCAAATGTATGGTGAATCTATTTGATGGTCTGGGGATTTATAGTATCCTGGGCTGCACCTCTCACAGTTGACCCCCGCTGTGTGATGCTGAAAAATATTAAGTCCAGGATTTTCAGTGATGATGATAAATTAAATTTGTGTGCCGCCCTTCATCTAAAGATCACAGGGTGGTTCACAACATAAAAACGCAAAGCGAGAAAACAAAACACATAATAAAGCAAAAATGAACGAATAACTCCTCTCCCACAAACACATTTAAAGGTTCACAGAATATTAAGCAGCCCAAGGCCTGACTGAAGACAAATGTTTTCACCTTCGGCTGCACATACACTAAAAATTGGAATGATGCAGAGAAGATTAGCGCCTAAAGGTATGTAATGATGGAGCCAAGTGA